ATGGGGATACCACATGTGAGACTTATTGGCAGCCTAATACATACAGGCCCCAAAAATCCAATGACCACCTCCAGGCTTTCAAAGGGCATATTTCCTCATGTCACTTCCTCACAGTTTTAAATCCCTAAAATGCCAGGATAGTACAACCCCCCCCCCCCCCAAATGACCCCTTTTTGGAAAGTGGACAACCCGAGGAATTTGATAAGAGGCATAGTGGGTATTTTGCAGATATCATTTTGAAAAAAACATGTGGCAACAAATGAGATCTGCAAAATATTCACCATGCCCCTTAGCATAGTGTCTACTTTCCAAAAAAGGGTCATTTGGGAGGGTGCTTCTACTGTCCAGGGCCAACATTAGAAGCTTATGCCACACATCACTCATTCTTCTAACCACTTAAAGATCAAGCCTTTTCTGACACTTTTTATTTACATGAAAAAAACAGGGTTTTTTTTTTTTTTGCTAGAAAATTACTTCTGCACACCCATGCAACAGCAACAAACTACGTAAATGTTTAATATCCATAGGCAAGCTTTAAATGCCTTTATAAGTCACCACTTTAGATTTACACTGGAGGTCTGGTGCTATAATTACTGCCCTTAATCTGACGTTTGCAGTGATACCGCACATGCGTGTTGCAATCTCTGTTTACATACCGAAGTGGGACCGCTGCTAGCGTTTGCCTTTGCACGTGAGCACGGAAATGGGGGTGGGGGTTATTGGTTTTTTAAATTATTTATTTAGGTTTTTTTTTGTAGGAGGCTCTAGTATAGCTCTGTTCGTGATCAATTTATTGATCTGTACAAACACTATACTAGTAATGGCGGTGATCAGCGACAAATAACGTGAGTGCAATAGTGTACAGGAAATCTAACGCTAGCTGACCCTGGCTGGGAGGGGAGCTTACAGACCCTGACGTTATCTGATATCACTAGTGGCAGCAATACAGTAGTCAGTGACGTGCACGCACACCAAGAAATAGAAAGTGACGTAAGGGTACATCGCTATGCCCAGGGCCACCACTCACTCCCTCATTGTGGTCGGGCAAGCAGCAATTAGTTAAAACAAAAAAAAATTCTCTCCATATTTTTAATTTTTTTTTAAACATTATGTTTCTTTTTTATTAAAAAAAAACTTTAATCAGAGTAGTACAGTGTTACCATAGTAAGAGAGTACTATTCTAGGAGGGGTGATAAGGGATTTGTTTTGTATCATGTGAGAGCTGTGGGCCAATCACAGCTCACCAGGAAGAGAAGCAGAGCTGTTATGAACCAGATTGATGGAACACCACCAGTGACGTATGGGTACGTCGCTGGTCCTGTAGCTGTCGGACGCAAAGTGGTTAAGCTTTTTGTATAAAGGTTTTACATGAATGAATAAAAACTGACCATTGTAAGCACTCCCAAAACACTTAACTCAGTTTTAATAGTCTGATTCCAACAAGGTCCCTTGCTAGCGTCAGCATCTCCTCCCAGACTTCTTATGGGTGACGGTCTTCTGCTGTCTTAATTGGCCAGCATGGGATGATGTCACTCCTATGCAAGTGCATAAGTGCTGACATCCTGGCACATAGGCAGTGTTTCAGAATGCAAACTAAGCTGCACAGCTCAGTATATATTCTATAGTTGATTGCAATTTTTTTTTTTTTTTTTTACATTAGAGATGTTCCATATCTCTTCTGCAATAAAGTGCCTGCTTCTTTGCGATTTATTTCAATTCTAGTTTCACTTTAAATGGTTTGGCTCAACCCTCTAACTGCAACTTTTGCTGGTAAGTTTGGTCTGTTGAAAGAAATTGAAAAAAAAAGATTTACTTGTCAGATTGCTAATAAAAATAAGGGGGAAAAGGCCTAAAGAAAAAATGAATGCACCAGATTTAATAATTGGTAAGCTGCAATATAAAACATTTTTGTGTTTAATACCACTTTAACCGCTTCCCTACCAACCTATAGCAGAACTACTGCTACAGGGTGGCAGGGCTGCGCAAAATCACACACATGTATATATATTATATATATATATATATATATATATATATATACATATACACACACACACACATACATATGTGATTTTCCGGGTAGTGGGCAGCTCGTCCCTCAGGGTGGATGCCATATGGTGTCCTTTATGCAGTGCGCCTGCCCACAGTGCCGCTCTGCAGCGCGGTCTGTCACCGGCCGTGTACCTCGGACGCGACCGATGACAGATCTGTGTACCGGCCCCATTTCAAATACCATGTGACCTGCTGTGACCAATCACAGCAGGTTACATGACAGTTGTATACAATGGATGGCTTCATTTCATGCATACTGTAATGGTCACAGCGATCACATGCACAAGCTGGGCCAATCACAGCCCAGCTGTGTCATGTGATTAGCCGTGGCCAAATCACAGCTAAGCACAAAAAAAAAAAAAAACCCTGAATGAATCGATGTCATTCAGGAAATGCTTGCTTGTAGCAAAGTAATTCTTTGCTATAAGCAAATTGTGTAAAAAAAAAATACTGATCACTTCCCTAAAGTAGTACAATGTTACTATGCACTGGTGACAGTATGAAAAAAAAAAAAAATAGTGGAAATAATTTTTTTCATTTTTTTCATTTTCCAAAAAATTATGACAAAAAAATAACTTAAAAAAACTCGCCATGCCTCTTATGAAATACGTCGGACTGTCTACTTTGCAAAAAGTGGTCATTTGGGGGATATCTGTACTGTTCTGACATTCTTGGACCTCAAGAAATTAGATTGGTGTCAGTACTTCAGGATTGATCAATTTTCAGATATATACCATAGTTTGTGAACTCTATAACTTTCCTACAAACTAAATAATAAATACTGATTTGGGTTATTTTCACCAAAGAAATGTAGTAGAATACATCTTGGCCTAAATTTATGAATTAACAATTATTTATTTGCAAACTTTTATAACAGAAACAAAGAAAAACATATTTTTTTTTTTTTTTCAAAATTTTCGGTCTTTTTTTGTTAATTTAGCAAAAAATGAAAACCCCAGTGTTGATTAAATACCACCAAAAGAAAGCTCTAGTTGTGTGAAGAAAATTATAAAATTTTAGTTTGGGTTCAGTGTTGTATGACCGCACAATTATCATTCAAAGTGTGAGAGCGCTGAAACCTGTAAAATGGCCTGAGGTAAAAGTGCCCTGTATGGAAGTGGTTAATTTGAGCGTTGCATGACCATGCAATTGTCAGTTAAACTAACGCAGCACCATATTGCAAAAAATGGCCTGGTCAGGAAGGGGGGTAAATCCTCTGGAGGGCAAGTGGTTAAACCAAATGTAACTATATTAAGTGAATTACTTTATGGGTAGTGACTGCTCAATAACATTTCTTGAAGAAGGAAAAAGCGGTGTTGTACTTTAAAGGCATTATAAACCTTCCTACCTTTTCCCCTTGCTTAAAGAGTTACTAAACCTAGGACTCTGCATTCACTATATCTGGTCTCCCACAGTAAACCGAAAATAGAAGTGCAATTATTTTAGTAAATATAAACTGCTAAATACCTTTTCTCATCAGCAGTTAGAGCAGTCTTGTCACTTCTATCAGTGTCCAGCCAAGAACTGGTTAAAGCTTGTAGGAGTTCTCATTCTGCTCTAGGAGGATGCAGAACCCCTGACCTCTGTTTGGACAATGTTGATTGGCCTTGTGCTGCTCACATGCACTCCCCCCCCCCCAAAAAAAAAAACCTCTCTGACAATACACATCAAACTGAACATGTGCAGAGTGTCTTCACACGGTATGTCTTAGCAAGAGATAAGAGGGGGACACTGGAAGAAGGGGAGGATCAGTGAAGTCAGCATCAAACTGTATTTTTACACAATGCAGAGGATTAACCCCTTACGATCACAGTGAGTATATCAAGCATGCTTTACTGCACATACAGACTGATTTTTACTGTTGTGAGTTTAGCAACACTTTAAGATGTACATTGATCATGTAGTTTCATGGTCTCATTTGTTGCCCTCTACTCACAGTCTATGTGTACAATGCCCTTAAACATTAGTTACATCTTGAAGTTACCCAAACTTGCTGCCTCAAATTATTTTCTATTTTGAACTACAACCAATCCTCCATTACACCTAATAACAACTGAAAAAAAGTGAGTAATAAAAGGAAGATTGGAATGAGAAGCCACTGAGACATATAATTGTTATTCAAGATTTTTATAGTGCCAACAGTTAGTGTAGCACTTTACAATATAAATTAAGACAGTACAGTTAAAATACAAGAGGGTGAGGAACAAGGCTGAACAACCTGTCCTGCCACCTTTGCTGCCGAAAGCACTCGGTACAGTCAGTGTGTTTCACAGATATAGTAGAGAGCCTGATACTGCTGGGTTTGTGACAATGTCTGGTCACTGCTGGAGTCATTTAAATTTGTAGAGGTCACTGCTGGGGACATGGAGATCTATAATGATCACTGCTAGCGACAATGAGATCTATATTGATCATCAGTCAGAAAATGTCTTTTCTATTCCTTTTCAGATGGCAACTCAAATGTTGGTTTCTCTATCACTTTCAATACTATTGACAATTGTCACAGACAAATTGAGAGAGTATATCTCTCTATCAGGGAAAGTCAACAATAAAAACCCATTAGGTGTTCTTATGCCTCATCACTCTAGCCAAAACTAAAATAAAAGCTTTGGCTTTGATTACCTTTTAAAATGACTGCACTATTAGTGATAATAAAGAAGACTGCATGATGACAGTTGCAGACAGAAAGATAGAAAGGTAGAGGTTAGAGGTTAAATGATTGTGTCTGTGAAGAAGCAGAGGTGAGATGATGAGAAGATGAATGCATGATCTGGTGCTGTGTTAAACTGCCATATCACTGGTAGAAATTATCATCAGGGCAGATGCCTTTTACCCTTTGGCAGAGGGGCAAATATCAGTTCTGAGGAGTTTCTCTTTTTAAATGAATTTAAAGAACAACATAACCCAATATACATTCACCAGACAAGAAGATAATCTATAAATATTACCTGAACTTAAATCTGGCCTTCTGTGATTTCATATGGTTGTCATGCCAGCTCAGCTCTTTCTGGCCATCTGTAGATATGGAGGATGCATCCTAAAATGTGAGAAGTCTATTAAAACAATACTGCTAAAGATACTTGGCAAAAAAGTCAAATTAGTAAACTATGTAGTTTAGCTTAAACACATCTTCCAGTACAGGAGTTAAACATAAAAATAATACTTTAAAATTGAATTTGTATTAGATAAGCTTAGAAGCCTTTTATAATGAAATGGACCCAATACAATTATAATTTTTCACAGTCATTAAGCCATAAACTACTTTTTCAGCATTCATGTGAAAAGGTAAATATGCCCCCATGGAAATGGTTGTCTTTTTTAACAAAATTGATCAGGTGAACATTAGGTCTTAACTGAAACAATGCCTACTGAAAAAGGTGACATTTATATGAACAAACGACACATAAAAATGACATTGTGTATTTATATTTATAATCTAATTTAAGGAACATGCAGATTATTAATGTGGAGAAAGGAAGTGCTGCACTACATTTACTAGAATTCAAATCCATAAAATTAGAAGCAAGTATTCCAGAATGGGTGCCAATGATTAGAACCTTCTTTAGGCTAGGTTCACGCCTATGCAGTTTGCGTTTGATCTGTTTCTGCAGTGCTTTTTGCGGTGTGTTTTGCATTTTTGCACATTCATTTTTGACACGTTGATGCATTTTTTTCCAACTTGTTGCTGGGCAGATTAAAACGCATTAAAAACGTGTGAAAAATGCATAAGAAACTCACTACATGCATTTCTGCAGCATCTCCATTGAAGTCTATTGAATCAAAAACGTCCCTGACCCTTTCCAAAAAATGCATTGTTAAATGGACTGCTGTGCGTTTCTGCAAAACGCAATGGAAACGCATAGGTGTGAACCTATACTTAGAGAGCATGCATGTGGAATCTGTCTAATTTAAAACTCAGACACCTAGGGGTTTATTTACTAAAGCTGGAGAGTCCAAAATCAGACTCCCTTCTGCATAGAAACCAGTCAGCCTCTAACCTCAGCTTGTTCAATGAAGCTTTGGCAATGAAACCTGGAGGCTGATTGGTTTCTATGCAGAAGGGAGTCTGATTTTGGACTCTCCAGCTTTAGTAAATAAACCCCCTAGAGTCTGATGTTCTTTGCTAATGATGTGGTGTCATCATACCAGGATCAAATGAGCCCTCTAAAGCTCTCAGAAATATACTTTTTGATACCTAGGAGTCGTACAATGAATTTAAAAAATATGTATTTTTAAAGCAATCATTCCATAATATGGAAGTAAAAATACTCTACAATTGGTGTAGATTTCAGCCTAATCTTAATTTTTCCAGGAATGGTTGGCCCAGCAAATTCAGCCCAAAAGCTAACTGACAGAGTAAGGCTACGTTCACCCTAGCGTTGTGTGCAGGCGGCAGACAGGTGTTTGGGAAGCGTTTTTACAGCTTCCCAAACGCATTGGACAATTCTGCACATTGCAACACATGGTGCTGTTCTAACGGAAGCATTAGCATCGTGGCAAAACGGAACCCTCTGGTCGAGTCAGGAGGCGCTGAAGCCTCCTATTCTAGTATATGGTGCCGCTTCGCAAACGCCCGGCCGGCATTTGCGGTGCGATTGCGACGCGGTTGCGGGGTGTTTGCAGAGCGGTAACACCATTTTAAACTTTATTATAGGCGTTTTTTAACGCTCAGCAAACACCTAGCAACCGCGGCTAAACCGGCCATGTGGCGTTTGCCGAGCATTAAAAAACGCTCCGCAAACGCCAGACTAACACTTGCCAAACGCTATAGGGGCATTTGGCAAGCGTTGGTAAAACAGTCAAGTGTGAACGAGCCCTATAAGAAGCTTCCAAGAACTGCAAAATTTATTTGTAGTATCTGTAGGTAACTTTTGCAACAGTTGCTGTAAAAGTGTATGCATCGACAAATACAAAGAGATTGAGCCAATTTAACTTTCATGTTGGGAGGTATGCCAGGAAAAAAAACTTTGCCACAAAAAAAAAAAAAAAAATTAACACCCCCGGTCACATCAAGCCTGACTTTGAAACTGTGCTACTTAAAAGTAAAGTCACACGAGTTCAAAGTCGGTGAGATGCCGATTTCAGGTGTGATTTGCAAGATATCTGACACAGATGTCTATGCAAATCGCACTAAATGTAGTACATGTACTACTTTAGAAATCGATGCGGCTCTGACCAAGTTGAACCGCACCAATTTGACCACTCTAATTGCATACAATAGGGTGTAACTTGGCATACGATTTGCAAGTTACACCCATCACACCTGATGTGACCGGGGTGTAAAACAAGACTACATTTTTTTCTTTAAAACATGTAGGAAAAGACTATGCCCATTGGAGCAATGTGCTATGGACTGATGAATCAAGCGTAGAAGTGTTCGGTCATAGTAACAGTAAGCATGCTTGGCACAAACTGAAAATAGCATTCCAGGATAAGAACCTCATACCAACTATGAAGCCTGGTGGTGGAAATGGTATAGTTTAAGGTTGCTTTGCTGATTCAGGGTCTGAGCAGCCTGCAGTCATTGAGTTAATGAGGAATTTTGCAACATATCAGAATATGCATGATGAGAACGTAAGGTGATCTGTATGAAAGACAACGCTGAATAAGTCAATAGGACCCCTACCCTCCTTCCACAAATTACATATTTTTTTTCAAAGGTAATCACATTTTTTGCCACTTTTTTTTTTTTTTATAAAGAAACATGCTGGTATTGATGGGGGATAAAACAAGGAGTACCTGGTGCACTAGGTAATACTGCATGCAAGTCACATACAGTGGTGGGATGGCGATGACTGGGTTAACGTGCAAGATAAGCAAGATGGCGATAACTGGGTTAACGTGTAGATGAAGGGTCACTGAAGAGACAGGTTGGAGATCATATGATCAGCTTAGTGCAGTGTATATGCAAGGAGCCATCCCCACTTGCAAGCTATTTCTGGAGTAATTTTAAAACAGCACTCCTGAAACAAAAAACTACTACCTTTTTTAAAATAATGTCACAGTGGGGAAATGGTTTGTAATGTAACAATACTTGAAAAAACTATGAACAATCTTTAAAAATGTACCAGTGGCTTTTTGGGGAGTCTACCCCATAGATGCAATCCACCCTGTTTCAAGTTTCAGTCCACAGTAAACACTTATTGACTTAACTTTAAAAAAAATTATAATGCTATTTAATACTCTCTTTCCTCTCATCAAAAGTCTTTGTGTGCCAGAGAGACCTTTGTAAGCAATAAACTAAAAGTACTGGAAATGAGAATGACAGTATCTGCCAATAAGCAATACATTATCTGTTTTTATCCATTTTGCCTTATTGGGAAGGCTTGTCCTAAACACCAAAACCTACTGACAGCAGGTGATGCATTAGCTTTAATGTACTTTACTCAGGCCTCTATGACTCTAATGTAAATACTACCAAAATCCATAAAAGACATCGTGTCTGAAGAGGTCACTTCTGAGATGTCTGTAACTGGAAAATGTAAATTTCTAGATGGAACAGTAACAAAAGAATTGATACAGAGTACTTTGCACTGGATCTCTTCCTTTAGTGTAACTAAATGTTAGCATATACAAGCTATTTACTGTGATATAATAAAATGAATACCATTAGGCTGATGCCACTATTTACACCCTGATTAATGACGGCACCATTCAGTTTCCAGAATTTCTTTCTTAGATGATTTATAGTTATTGTATATGCCACAGATAAGTGAATCAAACAGGCCCTTAAACATTTCATTAGTCTGAAAATATTGTTAGTTGAGTTATAATTTAAGCTTTTAAAGCAGTATTAAACCCAAAAGCAAACATCTGTTACATTGCAGCTTACCAACTATTAGATATGAAACCTACCTTTGTTCTTTTTATGATTTAGTTCTATTTTCATCTGGTGATTCAGCCAGGAAGCCTGTTGTTTTATAAAAGAACAAGCTCTCCAGCAGAATTTTATCAGTTTCAGGGATGAGACAAACCATTTACCACTAGCAGAGGTGCTTACAAATATCAGCTTTTTTATTTATTCATATAATACCCTAATCAGGGGCGAACTGACAACTCATGGGGCTCCCGGGCAATAGGAGATCATGGGGCCCCGTGTCCCTGCCCACTCAAGCTGCACCCACACAAAGCCCCACCTACATATTACACTGCCCGCAATACATGCGTTTGTCACAGAATTTCTCTACAGCATGTTCAAAATAAATGTTTATTACATAAAATAAAGAAAAAAAAAAAACTTACATTAAAGAGCGCAACAATGGTACTTTTCAAAATTAAGGTTTTAATGAATTTTTCCTATCCCTTCCACTGACACCAATGTAGGGCACTATTCCTCCCACTGACACCAATGATAGGGCACTATTCCTCCCACTGACATCAATGATGGGGCACTATTCCTCCCACTGACATCAATGATAGGGCACTATTCCTCCCACCGACGCCAATGATGTGGCACTATTCTTCCCACTGACACCAATGATAGGACATTATTCCTTTCACTGACATGAATGATAAGGCACTATTCATCCCACTGATACCAATGATGGGGCATTATTCCTTCCACTGATACCAATGATGGGGCGCTATTCCTCCTATTGACACCAAAGCTGGGATGCTATTCCTCTCCCTAATACTAAACATGCATGGTTTACTCCCACTGATGCCAGGACAATTTCTGATCCCAAAGACCATAGTCTGGCCCCCAAAAACCTGAAGGACAGTAAACTGGCCCTTTGATCAAAATTTGGGGTCTCCAAACTTTCTAAACAAAGCATATTCATGTGTTAGAATGGCCCAGTCACAGTCCAGACCGAAATCCAATGGAGAATCTATGACCAGACCTGAAAAATTGCTGTTCACAGACGCTCTGCATCCAATACCAGAAATTGAGTGATTTGGCAAAGAAGAATGGGCAGAAATGTCCCTCTGTAGATGTGCAAAGCTGGGAGAGACATCCCCAAAAAGACTTGCAGATGGAATTACAGCCAAAGGGGGTCCTACAAAATACTGACTCCAGGGGGCCGAATACAAATGCACACCACACTTTTCACAGATTTAGTGGTCACAAATGTTGGAACCATTTCTCATTTTCCTTCCACTTCACAATTATGTGCCACTTTGTGTTGGTCTATCACATCCAATCCCAATAAAAACATTGTAACATGAAAACATGGGGAACATTTCAGGGGGGGAATACATTGTAACATGGGGGACATTTCAGGGGGGGAATACATTGTAACATGACAACATGGGGGGCATTTCAGTCGTGAGGAAGACTTTTTCAAGCCACTGTATATACCAATGATATCTGTACATTGCATGTTATTCCCTATATATAACACTGATATCTGTACACTGGGTGAAACTCTTAGTTTCTGTTATAAAATTTTGTAAATGAATAATTTTTCTCCTTCACTGATGTGCGCTAATGAGGCTGCAGTGATGGGCACTGATAAGGTGGCACTGATGAGCATTGATAGGCGGCACTGATGAGGATGCACTGGTAGGTGGCACTGATGGGCATTGACAGACATCACTGATGGGCACTGAAAGGCGGCACGGATAGGCAGCACTGACTGGCACTGTTAGGTGGCACTGATAGGCGGCACTGATTGGCAGCACTCATAGGCGGCACTGACTAGCACTGATAGGCAGCTCAGATGGGCACTGATATGTGGCATTTATGTGCACTGGTAGGCACTGATATGTGGCATTGATTAGCAATGATATGTAGCATTGATGTGCATTGATTGGCACTGACAGGTGGTATTGACGGACACTGACAGGTGACATTAATGGACACTGACAGGTGGCACTGATGGGGCTACACTGATCATCAGGGCACTGATCAGTGCCCTGATAATCAGTGTACATGTCCCCTCTGAGGAATGCCGATTACCGGCTCTCCTCTCCTCACCAGCTGACAGCTGGTGAGGAGAGGAATGCTGATAACCGGCATTTCCTTATTTACATGCGATCAGCTGTGATTGGACACAGCTGATCACATGACCGAGTCGACATCTTCGGCTCTTTCCACTGATCAGTGATCTGCTGTGTCCCAGGGACACAGTGCACCACCGATCGTTGGCGGGAGGACGTCATATGATGTCCTCCCAGAACAAGAGAACCGCCGCCTGCCTGTCATTTCCTTATATGCCAGGCGGGAGGCGGTTAAGCTGCAGCGCTGTCAGTGTCACTGGGGGTCGGGGGATTACACACTGACCTGCTGCAGGATACAGGGCAGGTAAGCACAACGATGACTCCGCTCTCTTCTCTGACCGCCCGTCCTGTGGCAGGGATGTGGGACCCGACCCTCTGAGGAAACTCCGAGGAAAGGTGTCTGAAGTGCCTTCCGCGGTACTGCCCTGTTGCAACACCTCCTTTTTTCCTCCTTTCAGCAGCAGCAGCATATTCAGAGGACGGACTGAGCCTCTCATGGGGCCCTATAGTGATCCTGGGCCCTCGGGCAGTGCCCGAATGGTCAGTCCGCCCCTGACTCTAATTCAAAAGTAAAAAAACTGTTTGATGTAACTGCTTATAAAGTGTTAGCTGGTGTTTGATTCCAATTTGTTAGTGTATTTAAATCCACTAGTACATCTGAGGTGACCCTGTGCCCCTTCATCTAGAGCAGTGGTTCTCAACCTTCCTAATGCTGCGACCCTTTAATACAGTTCCTCATGTTGTGGTGACCCCCAAGCATAAAATGATTTTTGTTGCTACTTCATAACTGTAATTTTGCTACTATTATGAATCGTAATGTAAATATCTGATATGCAGGATGTATTTTCATTGTTACAAATTGAACATAATTAAAGCATTACTGCTGCTTTCAACACAGTAGCTGCTTTCTACACAGTAGCTGCTCTTTACACATGTGTGACTGGTCCACATAAGTACATTATGGTGTCAACCCTGTCACATACACCTGTATTTGTACTGGGTGTATGTGATGGGGTTGGCGTGATGATGTCATCACGTCGGGTACTCGTATGTGGGCATTTCTGCATGTGGGCGGACCCGCCTGGAGACGGCTAGAGGAGCGGAGTCTCGGTTCTTAAGTCCATCGGAAATATGTGTTTTTTCTTAGGCGACCCCTGTGAAAGGGTTGTTCGACCCCCACAGGTTGGGAACCGCTTATCTAGAGTGAAGGCACTCTTAGGCTAGGTTCACATATGAACTCTGCAGATCCGCACAAAAATCCGTGCAGCTGCACCACCCACACAGAAAAATGCGAACCCGCGCGGGTGGGTGCCATTAATTGTAATGGCATGCCGCCCGTACTGGAAATCGCAACTGCACTGGGAACAGAGGTTCCCGTGCGGGCTGCGGTTTCCAATGAAGTGCAGCGACTTCTTCCCTGCGTGTCCTGGGGCAAAAATGAATGGGCTCTAGTGCCCGTGCAAAACAAGGCCCGCACGGCCGCATATATGTGGACCAGGGCTAATACAGGACGTTTGCTACTGAACCAGGAGAAAACAGAGGAACAAAAAGAAAAGTAATGCAGACCCCCCCACCAAATGATTGGTAAGCTGCAATATAATACATTGTTGTTTTTGCGGTTCAATACCACATTAAATGTTCACAATCAGAATATATACAGATATAAATATCTCACATATGCTACATTTAGTAGGCTTTTCCCATAACCAAAGATTTAAAATTAACAGTTCCATTTACCTACAGTATATAATACGAATTCTATCACAAATATATGAACATAATGTTATTCTTAGAAGCTTTGATAAAAAAAAAGTATTAAACTAATGCTTTAGAAACTCTGCTGCCTAGGCAGCGAGGACTTTCCATAGATAAGGTCCTTTATTAAAAGAAAACTTCAGCACGGTCTGCTTTTGTCAAGTTCTAGCCCCATTACCATGAAAAATGTTTCTTTGTGCCCATCACCAAAATGGATGGTGTCCTTGGCCTACAAGAACAATTAGAAAGATAAGGGAGAGGCCATTTAAAGTGTTACTAAACCCACAACAGTAAAATCAGTCTGTATATGCAGTAAAGCATGCTTGTTCTACTCACTATGGAGCTTAAGGGGTTAATCATTTTCATTGTGTAAAAAGGATGTTTGATCCTGTATTCTCTGATCCTCCCCTTCTTCCACGTTCCCCATTTCATCTCTGATAGAACACAGCCTCGGGGACACTTTGTGTATGCTCAGTTTGGTGTGTACTGCTAGATATTTTTTTTTTTCTTTTTCTTGGGAGAGTGTATGGGATCAGCACAGAGCTAATCAGCACTGTCCAGACAGAGGGTCAGGGGTTATGCAATCTCATAGGGCAGTGAAATAAGAATGAAAACTCCTCCTACAAGCTTTAACCAGTGCTCAGCTGGATACTGACAGAACTCACAAGACTGCTATATATTGCTGATGAGAAAAGGTATTTAGCAGTTTACATTTACTAAAATTATTATTATACAGTATTTATAAAGCTCCAATAGTTCACTCAGCGCTGTACATTACAAAGGGGGACAGAACATGTGACAGAACAATACCAATACAATGCAAAACATGAGGGGATTGAGGGCCCTGCTCTTTCGAGCTTACAATCTAGGAGGGAGGGGATAGTGGTACAGGAGGAGATAGCTGTGGGGGATGGAGTGGTAGGAAGAGTGGAGGAGGTCAGCAAGTTAGCAGGGGGTGGGGTAGGCTTCCCTGAAGAGATGGGTTTTCAGGGTGTGCCTAAAGGAGAGGAGAGTAGGTGATAATCTGATGGGTTGGGGCAGGGAGTTCCAGAGGATGGGTGACACCCTGGAAAAGTCTTGGAGGCGGGCATGGGAGGAGGAGACCAGGGAACTAGAGAGAAGGAGGTCTTGTGAGGAGCGGAGTGTGCGTGCTGGGCGGTACTTGGATATTAGGTCAGTGATGTAGTTCGGGGCAGTATGGTGGACAGCTTTGTACGTCATTGTTAGGATTTTGAATTTGATTCGTTGTGCAATCGGAAGCCAGTGGAGGGATTGGCAGAGGGGGGTGGCGGAAATGGAGCGGTTGGAAAGGTGAATGAGTCTGGCAGCCGTATTCAGGATCGACTGAAGTGGGGATAGCCAGAGGCGAGGCAGGCCAGTGAGGAGGGAGTTGCAGTAGTCGAGTCGTGATATGATGAGGGAGTGGATGAGCTGTTTAATGGTTTCTGGGGTTAGGAACGTGCGTATTTTGGCAATGTTGTGGAGGTGGAGTCTGCATGAGTTAGTTAAAGATTGGACTTGGGGCTGGAAGGATAGGTTGGAGTCCAGAATGACACCAAGTACTCTGGCCTGCGGGGCGGGTTTGAAGGTGGCGTTGTTGGATGTGATGGAGAAGTCAATGGGGGGTGGTGTCTGGGCTGGGGGGAAGACAAAAGACTCGGTTTTGGAGAGGTTCAGATTAAGGAAGTGGAGCGACATCCAGCCCCATATGTCGCTCAGTAGGTGTGTGATTCGGGCAGAGAACGAGGGGGTGAGGTGGGGGGTTGAGAGATAGATTTGTGTGTCGTCGGCATAGAGGTGGTAGTTGAAGCCGTGGGAGTGTATGAGTTGGCCAAGGGAGGAGGTGTAGATGGAGAAGAGAAGGGGCCCAAGGACAGAGCCTTGAGGGACCCCAACAGAGAGGGGGAGTGAGGGGGAGGTGGTAGCATTATAGGTAACGCTGAAGGTTGTAACAGGTGGGATGAGAGCCAGGAGAGAGCAGAATCTCTGAGGCCGAGGGAGTATAGTTTTTTGAGGAGGAGGGGGTAGTCGACTGTGTCGAAGGCCGCAGAGAGGTCAAGGAGTAGGAGCACTGAATAGTGGCCATTAGCTTTGGCGGTTAGCAGGTCGTTGGAGAGTTTGAGTAAGGCGGTTTCGGTGGAGTGTAGGGGACAGAAGCTGGACTGTAGGGGATAATTGCATTTCCACGTTTGTGTACTGTGGGAGACCAGATATAGTGAATGCAGGGTCCTGGGTTTAGTAACACTTTAATGGATGATGAATCACTCAAAACTAGGTATGATTTACCTTATCCATACTTTCCTGATACAATGAACTTTGACAAGCATATTAAACTCTTTTCTTTTACCCCTTGTTCACATATGTGCGGGTGATGCCACTGCAGATCCGCACAAAAATCCGTGCAGCCGCACCACCCACACAGAGGAATGCGGATCCGCGGGCGGGTGCCATTAATTCAAATGGCACACCGCTCGCACTGGATATCGCAACCGTACTGGGAACCGAGGTTCCCATGCGGGCTGTGTTTTCCAAAGAAGTGCAGGGACTTTTTCCTTGTGTGTCCCAGGGCACGGGAGTCCATTCAGATGAATGGGTTCTCGAACCTGTGCAAAACGGGGCTCGCAGGAACGCGGAGATGTGAACCTAGCCTTAGACCACTCCACAGTTGTTAAAAAAAACCCTTTACTTAAGTTCCTAACCCTTCTGAATGCAGCCTGGAATGTTAAATTCTTACCTTCCTCATAGTTCTATGCATATTCACTGTGTGGCCCTGCCCAGCACTGCAAAGCATTATTACCTCCATCTCCTCTTCTTGATGGGAATGATTTAGCTGTAAAGGCTGTGCACCTCCACCACAGGGTCGCACAGTAAAGTAATCCAGAATGGTGAAGAGGTTAATTATTTAACATGGCATTAACCACTTGCCTACTGGGCACTTATACTCCCTTCATGCCCAGGCCAATTTTCAGCTTTCAGTGCTTTGAATGACAATTGTGTGGTCAGGCAACATTGTACCCATAGGAAAATGTTATAATTTTTTTAACACAAATAGAGCTATATTTTGGTGGAATTTAATTGCCACTGGGTGTTTTTATTTTTTTCGCTATAAACAAAAAAAGAGCAAAAAATTAGAAAAGAAAAAAAAAGTTTTTCTTTGTTTCTATTACAAAATT